TATATATATATATATTAAAATTTTAAAATTATTAAATTTTTAATGAGAAAGACTAAAATTCCACAATTATGATATTTGAGAGATTAAAATTGTTCAATTAAAAATTGTGAGACTAAAATTACACAATTATAATCTTTTAAGGACTGAAATTACTCAATTAAAACCTTGGAAATCAAAATTGCATAATTTTAATATCAAAAACACAATTAAGCAAAGAATATTTTATTCACAGTTCTGGAACGGGCCGTTCTGAAACCAGAACGGCCCGTTCTGATTTCAGAACGGCCCGTTTTGAAAGCAGAACGACCGTTCTGATATAAGAACGTCCCGTTCTGCTTCACTGGTGGTGTTTTAATTTTGCAACCAGAACGGCCCGTTCCGGTTTCAGAACGGGCCGTTCCGGGTCCAGGTGTATTAAAAAGAATTTTCTCATCTACGTGGATGCCACGTATGCATCTACGTGACATCCACGTGGCCAAAAGTTAACTCTATTTAAATAATTTGTACGGAAGTCCCACATTGAAACTAATTAATTAATTTGGGACTAAATTGAAACCAATTAATTAATTTGGGACCAATTTGAGACCAAAAATTAATGAAGGACTAAATTGAAACAAAAAAAGATTATAAGATACCAAAATAGGGTTTTAGCCTTTTATTTTCTGTTTTGTATAAATAGGTATTCTTTTTTCTTTTGTAACTAATATATCATAATACAATATTTCTCTTTCTTTTGGTTCTCCCTCTCTTTCTTTTCTTTTTCTTTAAAACCTGTTATTTTTCTCTTCTCCCTTTTTTTTTTTTTTTTTATCTTTCTTTCATAAACCAAACAAAGCATAAAAGTAAAAAAAAAAAAAAACATTTTAAAACTTTCCTTTTAATCAAGCAAGAGAAAAAGTAAAAATGTCCAAAATTCCGATTCCAAACCGCGCAGTTTCTAAATGTATGTTTTTATGTTAATAATATAAAAAGAATTATATTGACAATATATAGAAATTACATTTAATAAAAATTAAAAAAAAATGCATGAAAAGTGTGCACCAGCTCTTGCTGAAGGTCTCATGAAGCATGGGTTCATGTTCCAAAGCAGACACAAGATTTTATGTTGTAAAAAGTTTGTCGATGTACATGACTGAAAAGGAGCCTAACCCCAATGTTTTACAAGTCAATCTCTTGGGCCATGTTGAACACAATTTGGTATTCGATTCATCAAACGCATTTTAACGATGATAATGTTATTTTTACTTCGTGTTTTTTAAGTTAGAATGTGAATCCGTTTGAGATCTTCGTTCAATGTTTGCGATTAGTTAAATGCATGAAAGCAAAAATTCCCTAACTGTAGGGAATCTCAATCCATTAATATATGTGTAAAGTAAAACATAGAAAATTGTTTAAACCAAATTAATTTTCTTTCTACTTCTTTTTCATAATTCTATATAAAAGAAAAGGTTAGTACACCATAGATCCTAAAATTTGAAAAACTATTATATAGGTCGTTCGAATTTAAATTACGAGTTATTTTAATTATTATAGTCAAACTAGGGATGGAAAATTTAAGTATATAGATCTGATTTTAAATTTAAATCTTGTTTTTACCATTACATATGAAAAAATTACAAGTTATTTAAGTCCTTAAAGTTTTCTGTTTAAACTATTCCATAAAATTAAAAAAACTTTTAAAAATATCAAAATTTACTAATCATTTTAATCCTAATATTAAGGATCTATGAATTTTGATTCTTTATTTTAAGTATATAATAGTCATTTTGATTCTTAACTTTGGCATCTTTTGGTGTGTATTCATCAATTTATTCTCTAATGTTAAGGGCCAAATTAGTTGATTATTATCAAATTTAAGTCCAAATTAATGTTTATCAATTTTAAAACTAAATTAATTAATTGTCTAATGTTACTTATTGAATTTCCTGATAATTTTAATTTCAAAAATTAAATTAATTGATATTTTGTGAAAGTTAGAATTAAACATTTTAATAATATTAAAGACTAAACATTTACCAAAAAAAAAATTAACTAATGCTTATAACTTCAAAAACTATTTTGACATGTTATTCTCCTATATATCACATTTAATGGAAACACGTATATATAATGTAATAAAATTATATATTATTAAGTGTATGATCAACTTATGTAAGTCCATTTCACATTAACTAATGATTTTGAATTTATATAATTTCATTAAATATTCAGATGAAGAACAGTATTATAATAATTTTACTAGACTCAAATAAGATTATTACATGTAATTTATAATATATTTAATGGATTCATCTAAGTCCTTCTGTGTCGCAAATGCTAGAGGAAAACTAGCCTGCTAATTAATTGTGGAATTCCAGCAAGTGGTTCCGAAGTCTGTGAGGCAAACACTGGCACAAATCATATAAAAAGTGTGGCAGTCAGCATAGATAAAATATATATTTCAGACCAACAATGACCTAGAGGTATCGTATCATATACCAAAAAAGAGTCATGATAATGCTCTTAAATCACATGAAAAATATAAAGTGACAACCATGCTCAATGATTTATAGTTTAGTTTATGCCTTTGCATCAGGTAATAATAATTAATAATGTGATTAGCACTTTAGCTTAAAGTTAAACAGACTGCTAAGAGAAATGGGATAAAGTTCACTATTTTGGTATGAAGGGCTACTAGAAAATTTTAACTATTATTTAAGTATAAAGTAATCAATAAGTGTAATGTAATTCTCTGAGATTTGTGAGTCTCTTTGTATACATCAATGTAGTAGTCCAAGCACAAATCTCTTCCTTTTTGCTCACGGTCCGATTAAAATACTCTATACTTTATTATCTTTAATAAATCTATAAATTTTGACATTTATGATTATTATTGTGTATATTCTCACAAATCACAAGGCTCTATCCCTCACTACTCATGGAGGAAATGAGTGGACCTTCAAATGAGTGGATCATCACATAGGTATGTCTTGTAGTGTAAGTGAGTTAGATTGGGTCACTTGAATGAATTCGTTACCTGACTTAATCATAATTTAATGAGTTAGGTTGAATCATATTTTTTCATTTTTATTACAAAATCTAATCCAACCCAGTCACGAATGAGTTGGATTAGATTGAGTCAATCATGTCAATATATAATTATTATTTTTTTGTAAAAATTTAAAGATTTCAAAATATCTTAAAATCATATGATATTTTGATGCAAATGCAATGTTATCAACCATAAAACAAATAATGATACAAACTAAATATCAAAATAAATATATTGATTTACTATATTAATACAAAATAAAATTTAAAGCACTAATTTTAATGAGTGAGTACTCACTTGAGTTGGTGAGTTGTAAAAGAATAAGTACTAAGTACCACTAATACTAACTTGTCGATTTCAACTTTTTTTCCGTACATTTGTAGATTATTTTTAGTAATAACATTATTACTATTGTTGTTATTTTTATTGTTATTGTTACATGACTAAGTTGGATTAGACAATAGGTCAAAAACACACAACTTGTTATCCAATGTAAATAAGGTCAGATTTTGATTGAGTTAGGTATGATCAGAACCCTTAAAAAAATTGACCCAAACTTATTAGTTTGGTTAGTTCGAGTACGAGGATTACCTATACTTACTTAACTCTCTAAATGTGTGTGGTCGACTCTCTCGATCAATAGACAGATAATACAATACATGATTTTTCATACTTGAATACTAAAATGTAAAAATCATACGTGATCGATCAGCTTGGTCGATAAAAGATCATTATGGTACGATAACAAAAAGCAATGCTTATTTTCATATTTTTCATCCAATAAGAGGAGATAAAATAATAATTAGTTGGAGTGAAATGAGCTTGATTCCCCCACATAATAATGCACTAAATTCTTTTATCTTCTTCTTTTTTAATTAGTTGACTAAAGTTATAATTTCGTTGCTTACAAAAATTCTTAAAGAATGAAGAATATATAATGATCTAATTTTTAGGGTTTACTTCAATCAAATCTTTGTGATTGTGTTTTTTAGGATTTACGGTTTATCTAAATTAATTACTTGTATTTTAGAATTTAAGGTTTATCTAAATTAATTACTTTCTCTCGTGCACGTATTGATGTGTGTGTGTGTGTGTTTTTTAGGGTTTAGGGTTTATCTAAATTAACTACTTGTGTTTTTAGGGTTTACGGTTTATCTAAATTAATTACTTGTTTTTTAGGGTTTAAGGTCTATCTAAATTAATTACTTTCTCTCGTGCACGTACTGATCACGGGTTTAGGGTTTATCTAATTTAATTACTTATTTTTTAGGATTTAGGGTTTATTTAAATTAATTACTTTCTCTCATGTACGTATTGATGATGGGTTTAGGGTTTATCTAAATTAATTACTTGTTTTTTAGGGTTTAGGATTTATCTAAATTAATTACTTCTCTCGTGCACGTATTGATGATTATTTTTGTTCTGATAAATCCAACAAGGAACATGTGCTTGCCAAGTATACGGTTTCATGTAAGGAATAAAAAAAGCTACACGGTGCAGATTGCTTCATTTTTTTATTTTTTATTTTTTATTTTTATACATAGAATGCCCCATGTATTCTCTCAAAAATTAAGACATGATATATAAGCCTTTGGCATTTATTATTGTCGCTCTTGCCTCAATTTTCATTATTTCATTAAAGCATCAGAACATGTTTATAATAATTTTGGTTTTCTGTGTAGGAATGTTCTACAGAAAAGAGGAGGTACTATTTATATTGTTGGCAGAGAAATTTTAACTTGAAATTTCATCTATTTGACTATTTATTTTAGAATCCTCATATGTAACCCTCAATTAAGAATTTTTATTCATGTTTTAAGATTTAGCCTCTACACGAACTCAACCACTAACATATTAATATACATTGGTTCTGCTAATAAAATTGTATAAACACTAAAGCTTATTTATTTTTTATGTTTTTAATACAGAGGCGAATTCTTAAAAGAGTGTTACTTATAAAATTAAATGATTATTTTACGTTTATTTTTTCTAATTTTTGGAAGTTTTATATCTTAGTCATGGGAGCTTCAATTTTCAATTTTCGTATATTCGTTATAAAGGTTTGGTATTGACCCTTGGACATGCATGTGTGATTGAGGTGTTGTTTCATCGAAACATCATTTGGGATCTGAAATCATTTCATTGAAATTTATATATTTTTTAATCACAGTAAGATACTTCAATTTTTTTATTATTATTATTTTTATCAGAAACTATTCAGAATAGCTTCGAATTTAAATTAAATTTAAAATTCTTTCTAGTTTGTATTTATTTTAAAAAAAAACTGAAATAAAAACTTCTAAAAATTATTATTTTTATAAAAATATATATATATATAAAAAAAACTGTAACAAACGAGCCAGAAATCTATCCCCTGGAATGATGCAGAAATAAACGTATTTTGTGGTTGCATTACCTATAGTGGATGAATTAATGAGTAGGACCAATGAATTACACTTAGGGCATGTATATATAAATTTCTCATAAAGCACTTATAGAAGGAAAAAGTAGAAAGAAAAAAATCAGCATAAACTTTTGTATAAAGTAAAACCAACTTATGCATGAACTAAAAATAAAATTTTAGAGAAAATTTATACAAATTAACTTATGATACTTTAGGGTTTTATACAAATTTATAAAAAGCTAATTTTAACTTATTTCATATTTTCTTATTTTTTTCTTCTAAAAATATTTATGAAGAAGTTTATCTCCACATTCTCCCATTGAAATCTAAAGAATTTCATACATCACAGATATGATACTTCCATCCATCTTGCAAAGAATGTTTAGCAAAATTAACTTCTGTATCTTACAGGTCTATATGTAGTCGTTCACCTATGGTCTACTCTCGCATCTGCATCAATTGAAGGCTTTCATCATCAAATACTCTTTTACTTTTTATCAAAAAATAATAATAATAGTGATAATAACAACATCAACATCAACAATAATAATGAAGAAGAAAGTTAACCAACATCCTCAAAATACAAAAGAAGTTAACAAACACTAGCCCTATACAAACCAAAATGAGTGTTGGAGGCTCTAGTCTGTAAAGCGTGAACGTGCAGCTTCTTTAACTCTTCTTTCCTTCCCTCAAACTATTGTTATTACAACAATACATTTAGTCTAGGCAGCTGCAACTTCTTCATCCTCAAAACTAAGATTTAGTGTCTGTAATTTGAAGCCTGAACCTTGTATGGTTTCTACCAGACCAGAAGCCACTCCTGTAGCTTGGACTGTTGTCTGTTTCTTCAACTGAATAAAAAGTCATTAATGATATTGAAGCAAAATTAAACTCATTTGATAATGTTTACTGAATAAATAGCCGCATCCCTAGTATAAAAAGCTTAATGGAAATTGGAAAGGTATTACATTTTATAAGTTTTATATTGATCAGGGTTATACTGCTTTTCAATGATTCAATTATAAGATAACTATTAAGAGACATTCTTGGAGATTTCAATCCCATTAGGGTGCCAACCGTAAGCAAAAAATAGTTTAATTCATATTGGCAATCATCCAAAATCAAGAGTTTATGGTGCATCATTTAAAACAATTAACCTTTTTTTTTTAAATTAGCAATGGTACTTCAAGTATACCTCTACAATTGCAAGTCCCTCAGCAAGCTGAACCTTCAAATCAGTAACACCTTCAGTGTCCTATAAAATATATAATGAAACAATGACAACCAAGTGTCAATGACAAGAAGAAAAATTTCCCAAAGAAAATGACAACATGGCAAGCAAAAGAACAAAGAAAGAAAACAAGTGACAAACAAATTCTTTCATAGATATAGAATTAAATGCGAGCATTTGTAAAATCTTAATGCAGGTCATATAAATAAGAGACGTGCCCATTCCAAGATTAAGCTATTGTTGTAGGCCTTGTGGCAGCAAACAAAGAAACATACTCCCCCTCACATCACCTCTAATGAGAAAAGTTTACTTTCTGGTAGGCCAAAATTACCATGACATATTACAATAATGACCATGTTATTTGTACAGTAATACCCAATCATGCAGAAGAGAGGCTACTACAACCTAGGCTTATAAAGAGGAAAGAAACGAATGCTTCAACATAAATAGGAGTTCCAAGTCTAACACCTAAACAATATGGGATGAGACTTCCCCTCTTTCATCACCATGCTTTGATCGTCTTGCTCCGTTCAAAAACTAGGTTGACCATGGTTTTGCAAATATAGTATGAATTGTCTTACCTCAAATTACATTTAATCCAATATATACAAGATTGGGTCTGAACAACCATCACAAACATTTGATATCTTACTCATATCCTCCTACATCATCATCCATCCAGTAAAAGGGAACTAGCCAACACACACTAGTACTCTTCAGAAGAATAATTTTAAAATGAGGACCTAAATCATAAGAAGCATTCTCGCTGGTATGTTCATCAAGGAGCTCAGAACAGAATAACACGAGTGAAAATATGAAGACACAACACCAAAACAAAGGTGTATTTGCATCAAACATTGAAATGAGTGAGCAAAAAATAAGAAAAATAGATCAAGAAAGTTTGATTTACCTCTAAAGCTTTAGTCAAAGCTGGAATGGAAGTTTCATTCATTGTTCCCTCTGCCTTAAAATGTGCAAAAGTAGTCAATTAGTCTCATGAAAGTGGTACTATTACAAAACAAAGGTATATATAGCTCAAGACTCAATTACACAATAATTTAAGGGAAAAAAAACAATATTACAAGTCTAGAAACAATGACTCAAAGCCCAGCTATCTAATGTTCCATCTGTTTTAGGCATAGACAGCTACAACACTGAATAGTATTAGATATAGTTTAGACCATAGCTCATAGACCCATGATGGGAGGGCACTGGGGTTAGTTTATTGAATAAACCCTCAATTTACTCTTTTGAATTATATAATGTCTGTTCCATCCCACCAAAAATCCAAATTGAACAGGAATTGAGACCAATAACATTTTATAAACACTCTTCTCCTGTAACCCATCAAAGGACTTAAGAGAAACAGTGTCAATCTTATGACTCCTTGAAAGATGAGAATTACAATATAGGTCCCTAGCATATATATTTCACTTTATTTGTCAAAATTGTCCCTAGCACTGTTAACTCTCAGACTAATTTTATCAACAGAATGCGATATCAAGCACTTGAAGAGATAATTTTTCATTTGAGCTAAATTGCAATTTTGGTTCCCTTTAATTTTTCATCCAATTTTGGTCTTCCTATGTTTACTTTGCAATTTTGATCCCTCCATTTAAAAAAAAAAAAAAAAAATCCACAAAATTGGTTCATTCATCAAATCTCCATGCCTTAACTGTTTGAAATGAATTCAAAAAAGTTGCTCATGTACAAAGTGGCAACTCAGTAGTCATACTGTCATGCTATTGCGACAGATGAAATAACAACTATCACCGTAAAGATTATGTATGGATACATTACTAAATGGATCAAAATTGTGGATTTAAAAAAAAATGAAGGACTAAAATTGCATAACAAAAACAGTAGACTAAAATTGTGGATTAGGAATTACATAGAGATCAAAATTACAATTTACCCTTTCCTTCTTTGAGGAACTAACATGATGGTGATATATCCTCCAAGATTAATTTGATTATTTACAAACTATTATAAAGATTCTTACTTAAAAAATTTCAATGCAAGAAGCACCCTCTAAAGTCCAAACTAGTAAGAGGCAGCAATGTACCTGAAAGAACATGGTGAGGGTATCAGATGGAGAAATGGGAACGACAACGGGTTGCGCTTCGGAGGTTGAAGGTTGTTCAGACTCAGCGGCGAATTCTTGCTGGGTTTCTTCTTCCACTGCCTTCACCACGCGCTTCTTAATCTTCAAAGTTGAAGTTGGAGAGCGCAAGGGGAAGCTGCAAAACGCGAAGGAGGGAGAAGAAGATGAAGAAGAAAAAGAAGAAGAAGAAGGAACAGAGTGCAGAGAGAAAGATGAGAATAGTGTGGCCATTTTCAAACGCAGTGAGCTTTTAAGTAAAGAGAAGAAGTTGCTGCTCTTATCTATCTATCCACACCAGAAAAAGAAAAGAAAAAAAGAGAAAAAAAACATCATTGTATAGTCTCATGAACAAATTGGTAATTTCCATGTTGTCCCTAACACACCTTAATTATATATAACAAACTACACCATGTAGGCCTCAATAGTAATTTTAGGCCCAAAAAGTTTGATTTTAAAATAATTATAATAATTAAAATGGATTATTTTCTTGTAGAAATAATAATTTAAATGTGAATAAGAAAAATAAAATATTTTTATATACTAACAATGTATAATATTTTTTTTATATTGTCATTCTATAACAAATTGGTCTATGTAATAAGTTTATTAATTGATTGTGCATGTTAAGGAACTCGATTGTGTCGATGCAAAAGGAATCTCATGCGTTGCAACAGAAAATTAAAAAGTAACATTTTGTTACTTTGGCGTTGAATGATTTTTTTTCATGTTGAATTGGCTCCAAAAATGCACATAGTTAACTATCTTAAAAGTTACACCCATCATGATTTTTAATTGATTAACAATATAAAAAAATACACATTAATATTATATGAAAATTAAACTCTTGGAAAATACTTAAAACTTAAACATTCAAATAATAACACTTTTGACTAATGAATATATCTTTAAAATTTTAGTATTAGAAAAACATTACAACTATCTCACCTAATTAAATAATTATTTTAAAAAATTAATGTCCAAAGTTTTTATTCACTTGAATTTTTGTCTTTACGTATTCTGTATTGTTTATATATTTTATTTATTTAAAATTTGATCATCAGAAACTAATATTTGATAAACAAAACTATAAATCTTTCATAAAAAATCAAAACTTCAATAAACAGAAATCTTAGAAATCAAATCTTACATAAATGAATAATACACATATCTAACATAAATGAATAATACATAGACAACTGCTGAAAATTAAGTTATGATCAAAGTTCAAATCGAATGAGAACCATAAAGAATTAAAAAAAAACAATTAAATCATAAATTTTGAAACATACCTTTATGATATTATTGATGAATGCAAATCGGATCTAGTGAACATACTTCCGATTACAAAATTTAAGCTAGCTCAACTATGCTTAGAAACGAACGCATTCGGAAAGGACATAGTTTTGTTTACGTTCAAATAAATATGATCCTTTATAATTACCATTTATTACCAAGTGTCATCTAATTTGGGAGAGAGAACTTAAGACAGAAAAAAGAGAGAACCATTTGGATGATACATATCATAAATTATTGCTTAAATCCATTTTTTTTAATGTTTGTTTGAATATTAAAAAAAAACTAAAACAAATAATTTACATTGTTTGAATAAAATAAAATAAAAAAGGCGACATTTTAATAGATGAAAGGGGGAGAAAAAGGAAATATTACAAGAGAGGAAAGGGGGGAAGGAAAACGAAAGGAAAATGTCATCTTTATAGAATATATTATATTAGGAAAATGTCATTTGAAAGGAATTTTCATTTTATCGTGACTCTAAGCAACATCACTCATGTTGGTACTACAGACAGCAAGAGTTATTCATGTTATTTGTTAAAACAAGTGAAAGAAGCAGAAAATACTAAAGATTCATAGCCATACATAATTACTTACGATATGGTATTACATAAGCTGAGGCAACACCATCCTATCCTAAGCAAGTACGAGTCTTGAAGCTAATCAATGGTAGGCATCTACATGTCATAGCATTAGCACATTGCCAACACTAATTTATCCGTGGCATGCAGTGTCCCAAGTTCCAAAAGTACCTTAGCCACTACCTATACAAAAAAAGTCATCTACAGCTAGAATGCACCAAATTTTCACCAGCTGAAACAAGGCACAAGCATGCTGAAGTCGAGCATTAAAGAAACTGACAATCTTCTTGAACTTCACCAGCTGCAAAAGCTTAGGAACCAATTAAATTTCTTTTTGCCTTCCAAAAACCAGACACGAAAATAAAATATATGGAAGGCAAAGAGGTTAGTGGTTTATACTATTTTTTTTACAAAAAATTTTGAGAACAGAATGAAGTCAATGTAGCATTATTGTGATTATAATGAAAATATAACAATTAAATCGTATAGGGACTCAGGAGAGCCTTGTTCTAACCTCTGAGATGTATGGCCAGATTTGCTTGAACATCAGCTTCAGAGTTAAATTCCTGGAACATCAACAAAAGGCATGTAATTTGTAAACAGATTACGAAACAGTGAGGCAAAAAACATGGCAGGAGTATTCTACAAACAAAAGGAAAAATATAGTTGGAATTGCATGCCAATCTTCAAATAATACACATACAGAAACTATTAGAAATCATATACATTGGTACCAGCATGCATAATTTATAAAATTTAAGCAGTTAAGGGTCAGTTCCGATAAACATCTCAAAAAACACTTATAAGAGAAGAAAATTAAAAAGAAACAAAACAGTAAAATGAATCAAAACTTCTCCCATGAGTTAAAACTAACTCTTGCACCTCAATTTTGTAAAAGCTCTTTCGTTAACATTACATAAATTTAAGGATTTTAACTTGTGAGAAAAATTTGATTCATTTTATCTCCTCATTCCCTTATATTTACTTCTCCCTGAAAAATTTATCGAATCTGGCCGGGCATTAACGATCATATTGCCTCTTTTGGAGGCAGGCATGTGAATTAAAAACCATGGGAAACTGATAGAGCCCAATTAGTAAGGCAAGATAGCAGGCCCAAGGTTTGGAGAGTCTACACTAGGAGGAATAAGATTTAACAGTTTATTATCTGTTTGTTATCTATTTAGGAAATTGATAATTATCTTCTGTTTTATCTTTTTAAATTAAAGTATTATCTAGGAAGAGATAAGATTATCTAGAAAGTTAGCTAGGAGGGATATAAAAAAAGGATCAGGGGAAGTCTGAGGGGAAGGAAAAGTTATTCTTTGAGAAATTGTGCGGAGCCTATGCTCAGGAAAGAAAGAGAAAGCAGATCAATTCCTGTAATTCTTTTTTTTTATTCAATAAAGTATTCTTAAATTTCCAGGAACTTATCATTGGTCCGACCTGCCGGATCTCTCAACATGGTCTCTAAGGTCGATGCATTGGAATCCAAAGTCACAACCTTGGACGCCCAACTTCAGGAATTACAATCCTCGGTTGCTGATCTCCAGCAATCTGTCATCAAGGAAGCACATGCGAATGAGACTGAACGTCGTGAAAATGCTGAGTTTCGATCCATGATCACTCAGTGGTTAAAACAGGATGGAGATAATCACTCCCACAAGGCTAATGACCCTCCTAAGATTCCTCCTCCTCCCATAGTCTTCTATGATGACTATCGGCTCATAGCAAGGAAGGTTGAATTGCCCTCCTTTGATGGTACGGACCCACGCGGTTGGATTGTTCGGGCAGAAATGTATTTCCGTGTGCACGGTACCCCACCAGAAACAAAAATTCCTCTTGCCCAATTGTCAATGGAAGGGCATGTCATCCATTGGTTTTCTTTGCTATGGAAGGGTGACCCAGGGCTTTCCTGGGAAAGGTTAAGGGAGGCATTGCTTGATCGCTTTGGAGACACAAATATCCGAAATCCTTATGAACAACTGGCTGCAATTACACAGGAGCATTCTGTGGCAGAATTTATTGAAGAGTTTGAGTTTTTGTCCTCCCAAGTCCCCTGCCTAGCTGTACCACAAGCCATAGGATATTTTATGCATGGGTTAAAACCCGAAATTAGACGTTGGGTACGTACTTACATGCCAGAAACAATTAATAGGGCTATCTCTCTAGCTCGTGATGTGGAATGTGCAATATACGGGGAGTCTGATAGTGAGGGCAATATTTCAAATCGAAAATCTATGGTCAGCCACGGATTAAATTCGCTAAAATCTGGTGTTGCACTTTCAAATCAAAAAAGTGCCCTTTATCAACAAAATAACTCCCAGAATTGGAAGCATGAACCCAAGTCACATGGATCTGGGTTTGTTACCAGCCGTCTGGGAGATACGAGGAGTAGAGGGATCCGCCATTTATCTGCCCAGGAATTGTTTGATAGAAAGAAAAAGGGGCTGTGTTTTAGGTGTGGTCAGCAGTACCATCCTATGCATCAATGCCCAGAAAAACAGGTCAGACTCACTTTGCTTGCAGAAGACGAGGTTTTCAACGAAGAGGGTCAGATCGTATCTGCTAAAGGTGACAATGACGAGACTCTTGAGGAAGTCAAATGCACTGCTATGAGCTTATTCCATTCCACTAAAGAAACAGTTTCTAGTCTTAAAGTCATGAAACTAAAGGGACAATTGAATGGATTACCAATTTTAATTTTAGTGGACAGCGGTGCTAGCCATAATTTTGTATCAAGACGTGTTGTGAAGGCTTTGAATCTGCCTGTGCAAGACACTTCAAGTGTAGCCATACGACTGGGTGATGGTCACCGCGTACTGACAAAGGGAACTTGCAACTTGAAGGTTGATTTAGGCCCAATGGAAGCCTCTGTGACTGCCTATGTTTTTGACTTAGGCGGCTTAGATTTAATCTTGGGGATTAAATGGCTGGAAACATTAGGGTTGGTGCAAACAGATTGGGGGCAAATGACAATGACTTTCTACAACAAGAATGAACTGATCACCTTGTGTGGCGTTAAACCAAAGGTGGCAACAGCCACTTCTTCCCTACATAACTTAATTGCCAGCAAAAGGCTGTCCTTTGACAAGTTATTTTGGAATATACAGGTTCAAGATCAAGAAGTAGTCCAATATGGAGATTTATCGCAAGAACAACATGAGAAGATCCAACAATTATTAGCTCAATTTCCAATTGTATTCACCGAAGCTCAAGGCTTACCACCACATAGAGACAATGATCATGCAATTGTTCTTCAAGCGGGAAAGGGACCTATAAGCGTCAGGCCCTACAGGTACCCTCATCACCACAAGGATGAAATTGAACGACAGGTTTTAGAGTTACTGCAGAAAGGGTTAATTCGAGCCAGTAATAGTTCTTTCTCTAGCCCAGTCATCTTGGTAAAGAAAAAGGACAATTCATGGAGGATGTGTGGATTACAGGGCTCTAAATAATGTTACAATTCCTTACAAATACCCTATTCCAGTGGTAGAGGAACTCCTTGATGAGTTGCATGGAGCTTGGGTATTCTCTAAACTTGACCTCAAATCAAGTTTTAACCAAATTAGAGTAAAGAATGAAGATATCCATAAAACAACTTTTCGAACTCATAATGGCCACACTATGAGTACTTGGTCATGCCGTTTGGTTTAATGAATGCTCCTGCCACATTCCAATCCACAATGAATGATGTGTTTAGATCTTGTTTACGTAAATTTGTTCTTGTGTTTTTCGATGATATTTTGGTCTACAACCCAAATTGGGAAACACATCTATTGCATTTGGCTAAGGTGTTACAGTTGCTGAAAATTAATAGGCTGGTGGTAAATGAAAAGAAGTGCAGTTTTGGTAGGAAATCAATAGATTATTTGGGCCACCAAATCTCAGGGGAAGGGGTGTCCATGGATCCGGAAAAAATTGTCAATGTGCTAAATTGGCCAACTCCAAAGAATGTGAAGGGAGTGAGAGGTTTTTTGGGTCTCACCAGGTATTATCGAAAGTTCATCAAAGATTACGGTAAGATAGCAAAACCGTTGACCGAGCTGACCAAAAAAGACAACTTCCATTGGAGTCAAGGAGCTCAAGTAGCCTTTGAAACTCTAAAAAAGGTAATGACCTCTACACCAGTATTGGTTCTCCCAGATTTTACTCAACTTTTTGAAATTGAATGTGATGCATCCGGGAAAGGGATTGGGGCTGTACTTATGCAACATAAGCGCCCTATTGCCTATTTTAGCAAGGCATTATCCAAAAAAGCCCTATCTAAAGCTGCATACGACAAAGAAATAATGGCCCTAGCAGTTGCTGTTCAACATTGGAGACCCTATCCTTTGGGACGACATTTCTTAGTCTATATTGACCAAAAGAGTCTCAAACACCTTCTTCATCAACGCATAACGACTGCTGACCAGCAAAATTGGATAGCTAAATTATTGGGATACTCTTTTGACATTATTTACAAGCCTGGACCAGAAAATAAGGCAGCTGATGCCTTATCTAGAATTCCTTATGTTTGTGAGTTCAACGCCCTAATTTCATTTCCGGTGTGGTTAGATGGTCAGAATCTGACTCAAGAAATACAAGGGGACTCCCACCTCCAAGGTGTAATTACTGGCCTGCAAGCGGATTCAAATTCCAGACCAGGTTGAGTATAAACAGGGAATCCTCCTCTACAAAGGTAGATTGGTGATATCAGCAGAATCTCCTAAGATTCCCCAGCTCCTAGCTGAATTCCATGCCACACCACATGGAGGACATTCGGGGTTTCTGCGAACATACCGAAGGTTGGCAGCAAATCTATATTGGGTAGGTATGAAGAAGCATGTTCAAGACTATGTCCAGTCTTGTGATGTTTGTCAACGACAGAAATATGCAGCTCTCTCACCAGGGGGTCTTTTGCAGCCACTAGACATCCCTAATCAAATATGGGAGGACCTCTCCATGGACTTCATCACTGGTCTTCCCAAGTCCAGAGGATTTGAAGCCATTCTTGTCGTGGTTGATCGATTATCAAAGTACGCTCATTTTCTCCCTCTGAAACACCCTTATACAGCTAAGGGAATTGCAGAAGTTTTTGCAAGAGAAATTGTTAGACTACATGGAATCCCTAATTCTATTGCTAGTGATCGAGACCCCATATTTATTAGCCATTTTTGGCGAGAACTCTTTCGACTTCAAGGTACAACCCTTAGAATGAGCTCTACATATCACCCTGAGACCGATGGTCAAACAGAAGTTGTTAATCGTTGCCTAGAGACATATTTAAGATGTTTTATTTCAGAGCAACCAAGGGCCTGGTCTCAATGGGTATCTTGGGCAGAGTTGTGGTACAACACCACCTTTCATATTTCCACAAAGTCTACTCCTTTTGAAGTGGTGTACGGTAGAAACCCTCCTAGTCTGACTCACTACCTTCCAGGAGAAACTAGAGTTGAAGCAGTAGCAAGGGAGTTGCTAGATAGGGGTGAGATTCTAAGACAATTAAAATATCACTTGCATCGTGCACAACAACAAATGAAGATATATGCTAACCAAAAGCGAAGAGATTTGTCCTTCGAAATAGATGAGTGCGTATTTTTGAAATTAAGGCCCCATCGTCAGCAATCAGTAGTCAAGAGAGTAAATTAGAAGCTTGCTGCCCACTTCTATGGCCCTTTCCAAGTTCTAGAACGTTGTGGGCTAGTTGCATATAAGCTAAAGTTGCCTCCTTCCGCTAGGGTACATCCTGTCTTTCACGTATCTCAATTAAAGAAGGCAATTGGCAATTATGTTGTAGAGCCAAACCTTCCACAAGGGCTAGAATTGGAGATACCAGGGTCTATAGAACCAGAGAGCATCATTGCTACAAGAAAGTCATCCAAACAGGGTGAGACAACTCAACAACAACTTGTGAAATGGAAGAACAAGCCTATGGAGGATGCTACATGGGAAGAAGAGTTTGTCATACGCAGTCAATTTCCTCCCTTCAGCCTTGAGGACAAGGCTGATTTCATAGGAGAAGGCAATGATAGAGCCCAATTAGTAAGGCAAGATAGCAGGCCCAAGGTTTGGAGAGTCTACACTAGGAGGAATAAGATTTAACAATTTATTATCTGCTTGTTATCTATTTAGGAAATTGATAATTATCTTCTGTTTTATCTTTTTAAATTAAAGTAAGTATTATCTAGGAAGGGATAAGATTATCTAGAAAGTTAGCTAGCGCCTAGGAGGGATATAAAAAAGGGATCAGGGGAAGTTTGAGGGGAAGGAAAAGTTATTCTTTGAGAAATTGTGTGGAGCCTATGCTCTGGAAAGAAAGAGAAAGCAGATCACTTCCTGTAATTCTTTTTTTTTATTCAATAAAGTATTCTTAAATTTCCAGGAACTTATCAGAAACAATATGACATCATAAATGATTGTTATCAATCTTCATCTATTGTTTATCAAGAGTAGTCCACTTATCACCCACAAAAAGGGGAGGAAGGGTTAGTTTATTTTTTCAGACTTGCATGTAAACATTAAATATGGAGCAAGTGACAAAGTGGTACCCTAAGAACATGATTGATCTTGAATGACATAAACTTGTCCTTCAGCTCCTTGGCTTCACTACACAAGGTAGCCATATTCTGGTTTTTGACTTTCCATAAACCCTGAATCTGTTGCAAAAGCAATTATATAAGACGGTAAACTAGTAACAAAATGTATAAAAATTAAGAGTAATTGTTCATAAATCTCAAATTAACAATATCTGTTGTATTTTCTTTTGGGAGAGGTTAGGTGTTTATGCTGCCTATAAAGTAGGAAAACTATATTATTAGTTGTTACTTCAATTTTCAAGTTATCCATGTAATAAATTTATTAACAATTAGTGAATTAGAGTATGTTTTCTTTTTATCACCATCCAGAGGCCTTTTAAGTAGGGAAACAAATACCAAGAGGTAGTGCAGAAAAGGGGGAATTTGAAAAGTACTTAAAAAATGCATACTTAGAAAATACAACAAACCTGACTGCAGACAAGCAGGGAGTCTCCCTGGACATGAATTTGCTTATATCCTTTCTCAAGGGCTTGTTTCAATCCTAATATTAAACCTCGATATTCAGCAACATTATTAGTTTGAATGCCCACTCCTTCACGCAACCGATAGACCTAAGAAGAGACCTAATAATTAGCTACATTCTGTAAAAAGTATACTAACAAAACGAATTGCTGCAGACAGTAGACACCTTGCTCCCATCACGCAGTATAGCTCCTGCACCAGCCGGTCCAGGATTTCCTTTGGAAGCACCATCAAAATGAAGGGTACATGAAAGCTGCATATAGAGATGTAAAATTTTGTTGTCATTGTATTATTAAAGTACAGCAAATATTCTAACTAGGAAGAGAAAAGGAGATCAATCAGAAAGGCTACCAATGCCATAGCATCATATGCAATAAAACCTGTAACCAAAAATAGAGGACCACAAATCTGAAGATCAAATGCATTGATTTTAAACAAACATCCTGCAACTTTTCACTCAATTTAAGGCCCTTTGATCATATGTACATGTGAAGCAACCACATCTCAAAGATAAAAGGTCTAACAAGTCTTTTTAGTTGATAAAATGTCCTCATAAGTGTAAAATTCATTGATTTTTCAAAATACTTAGTTAACAAATGAGTCCTATTACAAGTCATCCTAGAAAGATAATAGTCAGAACACCAGAGTGTCAATCAAGCAATCTACCTGAGGTCCTTAACTGTTGAATTGACTCAATGGCTCCAAGAGCCAACTTTATTATGCCTTGCTGTTGCAACCACCAGCATTCAGCTACAATAATCATTACTTTCACACATGCATGCATTAATGCTAGAAAGGATGCTTCAAATTTTAGAGTTGCCTAAATGATAAATTAAAAATCAACTAAATTTCCATGCACCAACCCTTAAGATATAGATCATCTATGGATGCCTGAAAAGGAGTTAAATAAGACAGACAAAACTTTATAGTAGACCTCAATCTTATGACAGCCAGAACTGGTATATTTATAATAGATAAGCGCATGCAAACAAGGAAAATCAGGCAATTGACAAGGAGCTGGGACAGTCAGCAACTACATAACACATTATCAAGGGCAGTGTAAATTAGGTGGACAGTTTTAAAATATATTATACAATTACTAATCGGTACAGGCACTTACACAATTATGATGTAGAGTGTATATGCTGATATTAGCAGTTAGCAATGCAAAACATAATCAAACCGGCTTACACAAGTAGACAACTCTGCTTGAGATCCACCTAGTGCATGATGCCTTTGTGAATTTGTTGGAAGTAAAGATGATCCAGCCTGCTTCTGTACAAGAAAGAAAAATGGGAAAAGAATAGTAAATGCCACACAATCAACTGCCAAACAGAAAGAGTCTAAGACTATAGTGCTAAGTGCTAACATTACTAATTTCATTGGATTCTATCAAGAGCTAAAATGGTCCTGCCACAAAATAGGGGGCTAAGATGGCTACAGATGGACATGTTATTTAACTTTCACATCTGACAAATAACTGTCATATTAGGGGTCCAAATAGGCGTTACAATGAACGAAACAAACTTAATATTAATTTGAGACTCAAATCATTAATTATATAAATAAAACTAAGTATAATTGATTATATTTGTGTAAATTATAGTAAACCTGCCATTCTAATCCTTAAGATTGCAAGCATTGGTTATGTTAACCTTGGTAAAGGTCCTTTCTTTTTAATCTTTTTACATTTCACTTCTCACTGCCCTTTTTGCACAAAAAGAACTTGAGACCGTGAAATGAAACAAAAAGTTCACGAACTTAAATCAAGCCCAGCTTGAGTTAAAAAAAGCTTGGTTCAAATAAAACATTACTCAAGTTTGAATCAAACAATTCATATTGACTTTAGTCAAGCTGAGTTATTTTTGAATTGACTAAACTCATTTTCAGCCTAGCTCCAAGAGTGTATTTCACTTAAATGAATTGCATTTCTTTGGTAATATTAAAGTGCAATTTCTTGTTCGGGGATATGTCAACATTGATAACTTACGCTAGAGTCAAACTGAATGGCTCCTTGCAAGTTCCTTGATGAGGAACTCGCATCGAAAGTTCTTCCTCCAGAAGAATATGGATCCTGCAAGAAAAATCATCTCCTCTTGAAGTTAGACTTTTTTTAATTGCAAGAGACTCAAATGAATTAAGCATAAAACCTTGGACTCCAGTGCTACACAAAAGAAATGTAGTTTAATTGAATATTTGGTAATGCAATGAAGTTTGGCTTATCTCACCATGAGTTTATTCCAACCACACGTTTGGAAAAATGTTTCAAACCTGAAAACGACCTTAAACATGATTCTAACAGAAGCAATTCACATGCAGCTTTTGCTCTGAGTTGAAAATTTTTTACTAAATTTTACTACCAACTTGAATTTGTTATAGTAGTCTAGTAAATGAACATGAATTATTTCACTTCAAAATCAATGTTTACCAAAATTAATTTCGCAAAACCAAGATCATCTAAATTCAAGCAAAATGCTCGCCAACATGTTTATCAGAAATTATGAAAATTACATATGAGCCTACACCCATTACAAATTTACAATCCAACATAAAATGAGGCAAAAGTTCCAACATAAAGCTCAAGTTAACAGTATCAAGACTTTAGACGCAAAAAATGGCCTTTGCCCATATGAGAATTTTTTTCAAGTATTATTAGAGAACAAAATAAACTAGAACAAAGGGGGTCCCTCGAACCAGATAAGGACAAGCAACAAGTCTTCCAAAAAGCCCCTCATGCACATCAGCAGCACCAATAGAATAAGGGGCACCCTTAAGTCCATGTGAGACAAGGTATTCCTCAGTCTTCTGAGGTAAAGAATATCCTTTGTAAATACTAAGAGGCTCACCGGATACCTGCATGGAATATGCAAACACTCAAATGAGAATACCCACCAACTTCTATTGCAAACAAAAACAACAAAGCAAACACGATGGTTTCAAAAACCCAGAAATCAACCCCAGAAGTTTAATGCATATTTAGTCCTATAGAATTAATTTTCACACTTTAAAACACACCAAGGCCTAGAAGCTCAACATCAGAAAAATCACCCCTACCCAAATGCAGAAAAGACCAAAGACAAAAACTTTGCAGCATGGAAGAACATAACAAGGTTAGAAGAAGACATACCGAAGATGCAAATAAAGGTTGGATGTCACTGAAAGATTTGTAGATGCCAACAACATCCCCTTTCCTTACAACGTAAAAAACGTCTTTTTCTTCAGCCATTGCAACACTGCAAGCAGTCACATTCACAAGGGAATGATCTTAGTTGAGAAAAAAAAAAAAATCACGTGAACAAACAACTTAGAATTTGAAGCTAAGTAAACATTACACAGTGAACATACCCAGTTGTTGCAGAATCACTTTCTCAGTGAAACCAAAGGATAATCGGTTTTTTAAGTTTCGAAAGGCAAGGTGTCGAAGTTCGTGAAATTGACGTCGGAAAACCAATTTCGAAGCATAAAAAGGTAAAGCAAGTGTGAGGTATCTTTCAAAGGAAGGTACGTTTATATTTAGATGAACATTTATACAAATACATCCTAAGTAACCACTAACCATGTACTGTATTGTCATGTCTTGTGTAGCGTACTGTTGGGAATGTGAACAAAAACACCGTAAAACCCAATTGCACAAGTAGGCCCATTTTAGTTTAAGAACGAAAACGCAAAGCCCGTTACAAGCCCACATCTAATAACAACTAAAATTATAGTTTCAAATTTTAGAGATATTAAAAAATTATAAAACTTTGAGAATTTTCATACCTCTAATAATGACACAAATAATTATATTTTTTTATATATATTTTTCCATTTTATCCTTTATCTATAAGGAGTTACTATATAATCGAATTGACAAAAAAATTTAAAAAAATAGAGATCAAAGTAGTTATTTAAAAATATATTTCCTTTATTAATAATTATATATTACAATTAAAATATATTTAAATTTATTTATTTATTTCTCATCATTTATACCGAGAAAAAATAAAAAAATATTAATATCAATATATAACTATTAAAGATGAAATATAAGACAACAATTGTTTGTCTTAACCAACCTCAAAAGATTGAAGATGAAATATACGATAATTGTTTATCTTTCTCAAAGGTGCACGAGTTCTAACACAATTACTAAATAATTGTTTTCCTTGATCATCTTCAAAAGGGTTCAATCTAGCATTGTTTATTGATCATTTTTTTCAAAAATTCAAACCCAACTACACTATTTTTTCTTTTTTTTACACCAACTGCACCAAAGTTAACTATCATTTTTTATGATGTGAACTAGTTTCTTTTTTTCTCTCAAAACTGATCGATTTTATTTCTCAAAACATATCAATTTTATAATTTGGATCGGTTCACGTTTCAAGACTTTTTTTTTCAGACTCTTAATTTTTAGGTCGTGAATATGAGGAAATTAGTGATCTCCATACTTCAAAAAAATTATTCTCTTAACTAATGATCGAAGAATATTAAAAACTAGGCTCTAACCTAAAATTGTCATCATGGATTTAATGTTCATTTACGGCCTAGAATAATTAATATTTGTACACTACCATTTGGTTTATGTTGTTTAATTATGAAAACATTCGTACCAAAAAAAAAAAGTTCTGCACCGAAAAAACATTTATTTATTTTTTTCTTCCTAATGATATGCTAATGATAGAATCGGATAACTCGATTTTTTAACATAATATATATTTTTCAATATCTTATATTATTAAATATTGATGTAAATAAATATAAAGCTAAACTTTTGGCTTATAAAGGTTGATAACTTTTTATATCATTTAAAAAAATATACAAGTATTATAAAATTTTCTAGACATATCTGTTAATTAAAATAAAAAAATCTTTAAAAAAGACACAAGTAAATGAATGATCGACTTTTTTTTAATAAAGGAGTTAATTATTATAGGAAGATTGGAATTTGTTTGATTGTCATTGGAATCACATCTCCTTGTATTTTTAATGAATGTAAAACAGATAGTTCGTGTTTATCTATATTTCTAAATATAATAAAAATATAGAAATAATAGAATAAAAAGTGGAGGACAAAATTTGAAATGAGTTAAAGGTGATTATAATTTATAATGATAAAACAGTCTAAAATTTATGTACATGAAAATAAAGAATCATTTTTATATATAAGTATAATATAAATTAAGGTTGATTTTATTTTCTAAAATAGAACAATATTTGAAGTGAGTTAAAGGTGATTATAATTTATAAAAATAAAATAATCTAAAAATTTATGTACATAAAAATAAAAAATTATTTTTATATATAAATATAGTACAAAATAAGGTTGATTGCATTTTGTAAAATAAATGGATTTCATGCATGCACATTAATATATTATTACTAAATATTTAAAACGTGTCATCTATAAATAAATAAGGGTTAAACTAGACATTTTTGAGTTTTTATTAATTATTAAACCAGCAATGATATTTAATTGAGGATCAGAAATTATCAAGTGTTATCTTCTATCTATCATATCTACTCATAAAAATAAAAGTAAAGGAAATAACTTCTTCCCTTCAAAAATTTTCTCAATAACTCCTTCTAAATATTTTTCCTCCAATAATTTCTTCCAAAATATTTCTTCCCTCCAATAATTTTCTTCTATATATAAAATAAATTGTTATAAAAATAATTAAAATAGACAAATATATATTAAAAAAAGATTAAATATTTTATTAATTACTAATAATTATTAGATTTTTGCAAAATTTAATTGTTAAAGATTATAAAAATTATTTTCATAAAATAAAAGGAAAAAATTGGGAATATATATAGGTTAAAAAAATATTTTTAACATTTTAAATAAATTATAAAAAATAAAAAATCATAATTAATTTTGTAAAATTGAAAACAATTTACTGTCATTTGATTAACATGGATAAAAATAAAATGGTATTAATTGACATTAATAAAATATTTTTAAAAAAATCATTTATGAATTAAAATAATATATATTACAAAAATATATAATAAATATCACTTATATAATTATTTATGTTAAAATATTGTTATAATAAATCATATTCTCATTAACTATTAACTAATTATTTTTCTTCTTTTTACACTATTTATTTTCCATTTTTAAATTATTATATTGATTCCACAAAAATAAAATAAAATAATTGGATAAAAACAAATACATATTTTTTAATTTTAATTATATCTCAAAAATATCTTTAGTAATTTTCTCCAATAACTTCCTAAATATTTCTTCCCTCCAATAACTTCTTGTTAAATATTTCTTCCTCCAATAATTTTCTCTAGGACATAATACTATTATATATAAAATAAGTTGCTACTGAAAATTAATTAAAATCAAACAAATATATCAGAAAAAAATAGAAAAAAAATATTTTAATAATTACTAATCATTATTAGATTTTTGAAAATTTTAATCGTTATACATTATAAAAATTATTTTCATAAAATAAAAGAACAAAATTGGATATATATATATATATATATATATATATATATATTATGTACACTAAAACTATTTTTTTTAAAATATTTCAACGAAATTAAAAATAACAATAACTTAAAATCATTAAAAAAAAACACTTAAACACATTAAACTAATAAATCTATAATTATTTTTTATTATATTTATTAATTGTCGTTATAAATTATGTTTTAAATCAAATATTCTGCACATTGTACGAGTAACCATACTAATTAAATACTAATCGAAAGAAATATAAAGTTATACTTTTGACATATAAGGAAAGTATTGATAATTTTTTATATTATTTAAAAATATACAAGTATTATAAAGTTTGTTAGAAATATCTTTTAATTAAAAAAAAATCTTTTAAAAATGCTCAAGTAAATGAATCATCGACCTTTTTAAGTAAAGGGATTAATTATTATAGGAAAATTGAAATTTGCTTCATTGTCACATCACCTTATATTTTAATTAGCTTAGTAAAGGAGTTAGTTATTATAGGAAGATTGGAATTTGTTTCACTGTCATTAGAATTACATCACCTTATTATATTTTAATTAAGGTTGGTTGAATTCTTTAGAATAAATGACACCATCACCTTCCACTAAGATTTCGTGTATGTCTGTTAATATATTATTACCAAATACCTAAAATATGTCATTTACTTCAAAGAATGCACTTCATGTTAGCTTTGAACGTCTTGTTTGTGAATTGAGTTAATATTAGTACCAAATGCCTATAGTTGTGTTTGGGAAAAAATTACATTCAACGAACTTGTTTTTAATTAAAATATGTAAAAATTCATTGAATGAATTTCAAATGATAAACTAAATAAATACTATGAAATGTTATTTACAAGAAGGTACTTCAAGTATGTTTAGCTATGAAAAGTCATTTGCTTCAAGTAGGTACTTCTATCATGTTTTAGCTATTCTAATTTAAAAAAGTTAAAGCTCCTTCTGTTACAAATTAAGTCATTGAATTCAATCCGACTACAAACTCGATTGAGCTATATTCACACTGACTTTGAAGGACATGATTCTTTAGATATGCTACCATTTGCAATTAAAATATATTAATTTTGTTAAATGTTTTCGTGACACTTAGTTTTTCCTTGACATCACTCATCTTATTTCACACTCCTTTCTCTTTTCTTTCTATCTTTTTCTTTATTGTAAGATATGTTATGAGAAAATATTGTCAAATTCTTCCCCTTGTTATAGAGATTCTATTCTCACATTTTCTTTTCTTGTAGACCACTGATAAAGTAGGGGGTTGTCATATGATATTATTTATTTGTATTAACATAGACGCAATTAAACAGAAAATGTTACTCATTTCACAAGCTATCCTCGAAGACATTAAATACAATTATGTTTCACCAATATTTTCTTAATCCTAAAGCTTTACATAAGTGAAACTCCACAAAAAGCCAACAAATCATCACTCCCTGACAAAAGTCTACACAAAAAATGGGGAAATAAATAAAAAAATTACATCTTTCTTGTCTATCATCCTCAATGCTTATTATTATTCTTTATATTTTAGATGGGGCAATCAACTTTACTCTATATCTCATTTCTTGCCATCTGATATGTGTATCTTGAACTGAAATCTGGACTCAGAACCAAGTATTAATAAATGGTGTCAAAAACAAGTAAAACAATTTCCATTTTCCAATCCTTATTTCAGCTTAGCTCACTTGCTCACCAATCAAGTCCAAACCCATTATGAGAAATGACAATCCTTGGAAGAGCAAAAAATAGAAGTGAACACCATGTGCTGACAAAAGACTTCTTGCAGATGCTGTGAGCAAAAGAAATGCAAGTGCTAGCTCCTTCCTATAGAGCTTGTTTCTTTTCTTCTTTGGAGGTGCTTCTGATTTCTTAAGTTTTCCTAACAATTCCAAGCCAGACTCTGAGTGCCTCCTGTGAATTTTTTCTTCATTTGAAGACTTTGACTCTCTCTCAGCCAAGGCTAACAAATCTGACTCAGAGGATCTCCCTGTCTTCTTTGTCACTACCCACTCATAAGCACTTCCTAGCTGGAACAGTCCTGAGACCATGGCATTGAACTTTGTGACTGACATGGTGTTCTCAAATAGAAGGTAGGGAACTAGGAAAGGGACAGATTTTGGGGATGGAAGGATGTTCAAGAAAGACATTACAATGGGGACATAACATATCACCCAAAGGGGTAGTTCAGACTCAGGTATGAACATAGTCAAGGGTAGTATGATGCAGAACAAGGTGAATGAGTAGAAAGGAAGTATAAGTTTCCTCAATAGGAAGAACAAAAATATCAAATTAGCCTTCTTCCATACTGATATCTGCATACAATAAAACCGAATAACAATTCAGAAAATTGTATTGTATACATTTAATAGTATAAAGATTGCATTAACAGGGTATGTAATCACAAATTGTCAAGTAAGATAAGTTTGTTAGACTTTTACAAAAACTATCCTATAAGTCATATCAATGATTGGTTGCCCATGCATAGAAATTAAACTCGAGTGAGTAAATAGTGTGTACTACCAATTTAAATATTTTTACACTATTATCCGATCACAAATTAGATGTATAGTAAATTTGTAACTTCTTTAATAATCATATCAACAATAATTTCTAATAGGTTGACACTAATCATACATAAAAAAATAAAATAAAAACTCATAAAGATTTAATATAAGTTGAAAGAGAAGTGAAAACTAATAAGACCTTGGAAGTTATTATAGCAGGAAGACATAGCCGGAAAAGCTGCATTGGACCAGAGTGCCAACGATGTTGTTGTTTCTTATAAGCTTCATAAGACTCTGGTAGTTCACATAGAGCTTTGACATCATTAAGGAAGATAAACTTCCATCCATTCAAGTGAGCTCGGACAGCTATGTCCATGTCCTCAACTGTGGTCCTCTCCAACCACCCTCCTGATTCCTCCAAAGCCTTTATCCTCCAAACACCAGCTGTTCCATTGAATCCAAAGAAATTCAGGAAATGGCCATTCACTTGTTGCTCCACCTCAAAGTGAAAGCACAAGTTTATGTTCTGAAGCCTTGTGAGTAGATTCTCATCCTTGTTCACAAAGGACCATCTAGCCTGCACTAGGCCCAAGTCAGGCTTTCCCTGTAAAGACAAGTCACAAATTCTTTTATAATTTGTTTAGAGTTAAGACCATACATACAAAACTTATCTTTTGTCCTTATTTGCCTTGTAGTATTAGACTATTAGTACCTACCTTGAAATGGGGAATAGTTAGTTTGAGGAAATCAGGATTTGGCTGGAAATCTGCATCAAATATTGCCACAAATTCATAGTCTTTGACATAGTCACATGACATGGCTGACTTGAGATTCCCAGCTTTATACCCAGTTCTAATCAATCTATGCCTGTACACAATGTTGACCCCTTTCTCTTTCCAAGAGGCAACCTCTTCTTTGATCAGCAGCTGTAAATTCCCATCATCTGAATCATCTAGCACTTGAATCAATATTTTGTCTTTAGGCCAATCAAGTTGAGCAGCAGCACCAATGGATTGTGAATAAACCTTCATCATATTACATTATAAAAAAAAATTTTAGCTTCTAAAGTAAAATTGGAAAATCATGTCTAGATTAATATGCCAATTATCACTCATGAGACTAATTCTTATTTTCAATTAGGCTATGAGATGTGAGGACCTCATTAGTTTAAGAAATTTAACCAAAACACAAGCAATTTGCAAGAAGATCATAATCATAATCTTATTCATATTTCATAGTCAGCAAGTTGCAGTATTGATTCTGTTACCTCTCTCTCATTGCACATGGGAATCTGAATAAGGACCATTGGGAAGTTTGAAGGATCCTCAACATCATAAGCATCTGGTTCAATGGTTGGCTTCAACTTCTTGTACTTGATCCAGAAGCAGCCAAGGCAGAGAACAAGGCGATCCAGGGACTGAATCAAGAAGAGCACAATGCAGAACTTTGAAACCATCAAGACCAGAGGAGCAACATAGTCTTCCCTGAAGGAGAGCCAAGCCACATAGGACCATTGCAGCAGACCCTTAACTTCCCAAGGATGAATCATGTGCAAGTTCCATTTGTTGAAATGAGCAATGATCTCTATGGCCAAGCCTCCAATTGAGAGAGCCAGGAAGATTTTGATGAACCTGTACAACCTTCCCCTACTCTTTGGACCCTCATCGCTCATGTCAGCCAATGAAACGCGCTTCTTGACCAAAGCAAAAGTGGCTTTGAGACCACTGGTCAACCATGACAAACATGTCACAACTCTGTGGAGTTTAAGGAGAAGAAACCAAGTGAACTGCTTGGGGCTTGTGGCTTTTTGCTTCTCTGAAAACATGGGAGAATCCGAATCATGAACTTGTAACAAAGTGAAGTCGTTGTTGTTAGACTTCTCAGTTGTCACTGCAACCAAATTTGGTGCCATCACTCTCTTTCTCTCTCTTTTCTTTGTTTTTTCCTAGGAACTCAAATTCTCGGGAAAGAAAACAAGCAAAACGAGAAGATTTTGGGAAGAGGGTCGGTGCTCACCAATGGAAATTGAAGCTAATCAGATAGTTTTCCTCAACATCATCAATGTATGATGAGAAGAAACAAAAAACTCAAAAAGGGTCATTCCCATATGAAAGTTTTTCTCAAGTTGTTTATCAAACCAAATCTCAGATATTCAGATGCAAAGTTTAGAGTTAAGAGTTTAGAGACACTTTGACAGGCTTAAGCTAGGTATTAATACTGCTTCACATAAGCATAGCTTAAAAATAGACTAATGTTTTTTTTTACATGGGGTGAAAGCAAGAATAAGTTGTACTCTAAGTGGTCTTTATTCTTAGGATATGTCTCATTTGATTGGTTAATTTTGAATGGTTCATTGGGAAGTTGGGGAAAGGTGAAAGAACAGGCTGGCATGTTGAACAATGGTTGGTGGACACGTAAGGAACCTCACCATAAAGAGTTTGTACTGCGCCACACAAGACACTTTACTCTTAGAGTGACAATAAGATACAGCTATAGTGCAGATCACCCCACAGAAGGAAATGCTTGTTGTCTGCTGGATGCACTGTGTGCGTGTAAACGAATCAGCACAGAAACTTCGCCACCTCTTTCTCTCCCTCTTCCTCCGTCATAACTCATAACTTGCATAATAGTAATAATGATTTATGATTAAATAATACAGTATATACTTTATAGTAATTCATTACTAAATCTATTTCATTAATAAAGATGATTCTATTCCTCTTTTGATTAAACCATTATAACTTTTTTCCATTATAACTAGCCAGCCCTTTAATTTTTACCGATGAAAATTTGGATAATTAGAAGCATACAGATGTAAGTTTCATCGTCATTATAACTATGTAATGAGATATCACTATGATTTTGAAAATCACATCGAATCAGTGGGTCGTATCTGTTGAATCCAAAACCGGTTTTTAATAGATTTGTTTAGTTCAGAAAATTATTTTGTAATAAATAAGTGAAAAATTGCTAGAATCACTTTAAAATCAATAAAAACTGGTAAAATTGATTAAAAAGTTCAATTAAAAAATTTATTAGTTTAAAATATTTTTAATAAAAACACATATTTAATAAAAATAATTATAAATTAGAATAAATTATTTTTAATATTTTGTTTTGTAATCTAATTATTTATGTTAATTTTTAATTTTTAATATTTATTTACAAAATATATTATATTAATTTGATACCAATGTAAACTTGTCATTCTTAATGAATATTGTTATATTTTATTGAAATTTAGACTTAAATATCATATTATATTTTGTTTTAACTTAAATATTATATCACATTAAATGTGAAAATTTATAGATAATATTTATTTTAATTTTTAGTGTTATAAAATTATGATATTAGATTTATTTAATATTATTTTTATATTGATAGTAATAATTATTATCATTTTATTAATATTGATTTGATTATGGTTCATTTACATTGTTATATTTTATTAAAAATTTAATTTAAATATTATATTATATTTAAATTAATTTTACGTATATATTAAATGTTAACTATCTATACGTAATATTTATTTTAATTTTCAGTGTTAAAAAATTATAATATTATATTTATTTAATATTATATTTTATTAATAATAATTACTATTATTTTATTAATATCAATTTAATTATATTTAACTACGATTAATAGGTTTTGAAAATATTGATTACAATTATCTATGTAATTTTTCTTACTTTATAAAAGAAAAAATAAATAAAAACAATAAAAGATGACATTCAATGTCTTCTTATAGTAGTGATTGGTTAAGTGAATTATATTTTTGAGAAAGAAAATTTGCATAAAGAACTAGTAGGGTCCAGGTTTATGGGTATAACCATGAATAATGGATAATTATATGATAAAAAAATTATTTAATAAAAATGTGTAACAGTGAAATAAAGAATATAAAAAAGTAGAGTAGAAATAAGAATATTTATTAAATTTATGTGAAAAGATAGGATAAAGAAGCCTTAAAAAGATTGAGACAAAAAAAAATAATTGAAGGATTAAATTTTTTTTATTTTATTAATAGTGAGGTTGAGATACTCGATCTTCTATATTTTATTTAAAAATTAAAATAAAATGAAAATTAAGATTATTTTTTTTAGAGGAAGAAAATTAAGATTATTAAGTAATAAAGTTAGTTAAATAATAAAATAAATAAATAATTATTAAAAGAGAATAATAGTTAGTAAAAAAAACATTATTTTATTTTAATAATAAAAGAACAAGAGTAATTACTAAAAGAAGTATTTTCTTTATATATTAGTATAACTTATAAATTATAAATTATTAAAAATAGTGTAAGAAAGGAGAGATAAAGATTACTAATAAAAACTATATCCCTTTTATTTATAGATATAGGCTTTTATTTTTGTTTTTTTTATGTTTTTTTATTTATTTAAATATAATAAATATGATGGCACCCTTTTGTTATAGAGAACATTCTGAACTACATTTAGTCTTTACTTTGTTGAAAAAATTTTACTCTTGAATATTTTTATTTGTTTTTTTTTTCAATGAACCTTTTCTCTCACTTTTACCCGTAAATCATAAGTGGAAATCATTGAAAAGGTTAATGAAATATTCTTTCTGCACGTACCAATAAAGATAACAAATAAATAGTTATTATATAATAAAGGTAGGATAAATATAAAACAAACATTTTGTGCGGTATCTATTAATAATGCATTTAATGGACATCCAATTTTAATGAAAACGATTTACTTTCACGATTAATACAAAAAATCATTATTAGTATAATATTTCATATAATTATTATAAAATTACAATATTATCTCAAATTTTTAGTCTTTAAGATTAATGTATATGAATAAAAAAAATATTTAATATATAGATGTAAAATTTAAACTAAAAAAAAACTTTTAGTTATTATTCTCTCTCACTCATCACTTAAGTAAAAATACTGGCTAATATGAAAATAATTAATAATAATACTTAAATTAATATAAGCGGTTTAGATTAAAAAAATTATAAATGAAGTTACTATGTACCGTCGTTATTATTGATTTTTTTATCATTGTTATCTCCATTACTTCCACCTTCATCACATTATCACCACCTCCACTATCACCACTACTATTGTCACCGCCGCCACTATTTTCATCGTTATCATCAATGACAACGTGGTAGTGATGATAATGGTGGTGTAGCGGTGATGTGGCAGCAATGATGGTGATGTGGCAACGGTGTAGTAGAGGTGATTGTACTAATGGAAATAAGATCAATTATTTTACTTTTAAAATCGGTTAAATAATCAATCTTAAAAGAAAAGATCTTAAAAGTGCACTTTTAAGATCGATTATGGAATAATTGATCTTAAAAGTATCTGTTTTTAAATGTCATAGTGAGTGCAACGACGACGAAGCTTTGGGAGCTTCTCGAAGAGCTTTCAGACACTAGGGAGTTTTTTTGCTGTGCCGAAGTAGTGATAGCCAAGGCCATGGCTGTCGGGGTTGGGGACGTCAACAATGTTGTCATCAAGGTAGGTCATCTTGAATGAGTGTTTGGCGAGGTTGGACTCGCTGAGGTTCAGGATGCGATGCTCCTAATGAGACCTCTTACTAATGAGTTTGTTGATCTTGTTGTTGAGGTTGCGAAGGCGATTCTCCTTAAGTCCCTCATTTTGGACCTTCACCACTTTGCACCCAATCTCGTGCATGATTTGCTAGTGCCACCGATCGACTTTTTCTCCTCCACCTTCATCACTATGAAGTGGTTCAACATTGATTATGCATCCTCCTCATTGCGAGCCATCTTCTTTGGGAATGAAACCTAGTGAAACCAAGTTTTTGATTTTATTGATTGGGTCTGGGATTTGGATGAGATGAGGGGGAGTGAGGGAGATCGAGAGAGACAACAAACATAGAGGCGCGAGAAAATACAGGGGGAGCGCGTTTCATTATACTTATGGGACTTTTAAGATCAATTAAATTTTAACTGATCTTAAAATTATTTTTAAGATAAGTTCTTCTATAATCGATCTTAAAAGGTGTGTCTTATACAACTTTTAAGATTGGGTATAAAAAGAATTGATCTTATATCACTTTTAAAATTGATTCTCTTATACTTGATCTTAAAAGTTTTATCAAACATATACCTTTTAAGATCGGTTAAAATGTAATCAATCTTTAAAGTGATCACATTATTTATAAAATTACCACTATGTCACTTTTAAAATCAGTTCCCTCTTAATCAATCTTAAAACCTCAATTTTAAAATTAATTTTTGCACTAGTGTGACAACAACGTCGACAATGATGTTGCAGTAGTTAAATGGAGGTGGAGGGGGCGACAGTTATAATGATGAGAATGAGGACAACAATAATAGAAAAAATGATGATGGCGACAATATGTAATGATTTTATTTTTAATTTTTAATATAAGTTATTTATTTTAATTTAAGGGTTGTAATTAGTTATTTTCATATTAGTAAGTGTTCTCACTTAAGTTACCTTATATATATAACCATTCCCACTTTTTTGCTAGTCTTTTTTATAAGATCTTGTTTTAATTATTAGTTGCATTAATTATATTTTTTATCCTTATTTAATCATAAATTCTTTTAAAAAATAATAAATATTTGAAATTATTTGGATAGAAACTCTATATTTTATTAGGATTGAATAAGATAAATAAGTACATAGATATATCTTTCGTCTTGTTTGTCATTATTCTCTTTCTTAATATAAATTAATCCAGTGAAAAATAATTAAATAAAAAAGAGAAAAAAATAATTTAAAAGATGTTAAAAAACTTAAATTATTGATAAAAATAAATAAGGATGGAGATATATCATATTATTTCAACTTAATTATTTTGTTTTGTAATAAATAAGTGAACAATTTATGAAGAATGTATTTATTAAATTGGGCTATAATTGATTAAGAAAAATCCTTTTTTAATATTGATTATTTAGTAGAGTTTTATTTTTTTTCAAAGTTAAAAACAACATTAATTACTTTTTTTTGTCAATTATATTTTTATTTTGTACTTAAATTTTAATTAATTTATAATTTTATAACTAATCAACCTTAAATGTGAATAACTATATTTACTACAAGAAATGTTACATATAGTAACATATAAAAAGTGTCACTATAACCTATATCTACATTTTTAACAATATATCAATACATATTGTATTTATTATGTGGGTAAAAGTAATTTTTAGTGACATATAGAGTCACTATATGATGTGTGTTACTAT